ATGGGACGGGTGGTGCGTGGGCAGGACGTACAGGGGATGCGCGGAGGTACACCCAGCGCAAGGCTCAGCGACTGCGATGAGGTAGTACTGACGATCACGTCGTCCAAGACGGACCAGTTTAACGCAGGTTGCGTACGCAACCATTACCGTTCGGGGGTGGAGTTGTGTGTCGTGGACGCACTCGCCGACCTCCAGAGGGAGCTGCCGGACCGGTTTGGACGAGGAACCGAGGCGGGGCTCCCCCTGTTCCGCCGGCCCGATGGCCACCCGATTATGCGGGAGGAGGTGCAGGGGCTCCTCCAACTCGCGGCTGCCGCCTGCGGCGTGGACGCAGGCCAGATGGGATCCCACTCCCTGCGCATCGGGGGCGCGACGGCGTTGTACCACGCCTGTCGCGACCTGGAAGCGGTCAAGAGGTTCGGGAGGTGGTCCACGGACGCCTTCCACGGATACCTCTGGGAGGACCATCGGCGTCAGGCTCCGTTCGCCCGAGGCATGGCGGAGGGCCACGCCTTATTGGCCCCGGACGCCCGCGGTGACGACGGCGCCGTGACCGGCGCCCGCCCCGACCAGTTGGCCGGGAGCGATCCGCCCCAGTTTGGGAGCGATCTGAGGCCCTCGGAACGCCCGGCCTGGGCGCCCGGGCGCCCCCCCTGGGCGCGCCCTTCGGCGCGAGCAGGGTCAACTACGGAGGAGGAAGGAGAGGAGGAATTGGTGAGATACGAGCCAGGGCGAGGAGTTAATGGGCGTGTGGGAAAGCAGCAGGCGGGTCCCACGGGTATTCAGGTCAGGGCGGGGGCTTCGCGTTGTGGGGGTATCCCGGTGGACCTCTCGCCCTCGACCCCCCTTTCGCTACCGCTCCCGATCGCCCCAGGCACGCCCACCTCCTCTTGGTCCTCTCATCCGCAGCCATCTCCCACTCCAGAGCGAGGCGCGCGAGCAGCGCGCGCACCCCAGCCCCGCGCGCCAGCCGCGCCGTCGCCCCGCGCTCCGGCAGCGTGCATCATGGGATTCCTGGTGGGCCTGGTGGCCCCGGACCAGAGCAAGGCGCGTGGCCATGACTACAGCATCATGGCGGTGAACCCCCTCGGCGTCGTCGTCTCGGGGGCCGCGCTGTCGGACGAGCTCCGGAGTGCCGCCCACAACATCCTGTACACGGTGGTGAACGAGCTGGACAGCGAGGACCTCGTCGAGATGGTCAACCACGACCACGAAGCAGCCCCGTGCATCGCGGCGGCTTGCTTGGCCGCGGGGGCGAGCGAGGACCACGGCCAGCTGGTGATCGTCGACGGCAAGCGGGGTGCGTGGGGGGTGGGCGCGGGGCCGAACATCAAGGTCCAGCGCCAGGCGGCCAAGCTGGCGCTCGCCCTGGCCCAGTTCCAGGGGCAGCCCATGCCGGAGCTCCGCGAGCTCTGCAAGCACAACAAGGGGCTGCTCGACATGATGCGCACAGTGGACGCGGAGGCGGTCGTGGAGCTCACCGACGACGACGCCTCGAGCAGGGGCGAGGGGAAGTCGACCCCAGCCCCGGTCCTCGAGGCGGGAGAGGACGCGGTCACCGCGGCGCTGGCGCGTGCGGCCATCCAGGCTGCCGCGCGGCGCCAGAGCAAAGGCGCTCCAAAGGCGCGCCCGCGGCCCGCGCGGTCGCCGGGCCAGGAGCGCCTCGCCGAAGAGGTCCGCAAGCGCGAGAGGCGCCCTGCGCCCTTGCGCTCGCCTTCGCGCGCGAGGCGCCGCGATCGCGAGCGCGATGCGCCTCGCGATCGCGGGCGCAGGGGACAGGAGGAGGAGGCCGTCTTGAAACCCAAGACGGGCGGCGCCCCCCCGAAGGCCGACATCGTGAAGCGTGGGGCCGTCCTGAAGCCCAAGAGCGGGGGGGCGCCGCCGCGGTCCTTCGAGGTGAAGACCGAGGTGGAGGAGGCGCCAGGCGCGGGGGACGGGCCGCCCCAGCGCCAGCCGCGCTCGAGGAGCCGCCGTAGGCGCAAGGAGGAGCAGCGCCAGGGCGCCCAGCAGCAGCCCAGTGACCAGCACGACGAGGGCGAGTCCATCATCCGCATCGAGCGGGTACCGCACCACGTCGATGCCGAGGTGGTCAGGCAGGTGGTCGTGCCCTTCGGGGTCGTCAAACACATCGCCTTCCTGTACGACCACCGCCACAAGCGGGAGCCGTGCGTGCTGGTGGAGTTCCAGCGCCGCGCTGACGCAAAGCGCGCGCGGGAGTGCATGAGGTCGAACTATCGGTTCTACAAGACGGACCCGTGCACGGTGGTCACGGAGTGGGCGAGCCGGCCTCGCGGCCCTGACCCAGGCAGCGACGGGGAGGATGGGCCGACCATCCAGCCGCCTGCCTGCCCGACATGCGCACTCAAGATGCGCTGGAGCTCCTTTGACCCGGGAGACGGTTGGGGTTGCGAGATGTGCCCCGCGGGCGGAGCTAACAGCGGAGCCATGCGGTGGCACTGTAAGGGGTGCGACGTGAGCTACTGCGAGGCTTGCCGCGTCGCCTTCGGCAAACCCAAGACGGTGGTGGAGAAGGCCCGGCGGAGCGGCCACACCGTGCGGGAGGCGCCGGGCCCCAGTGTCGGCCATGGCGAGCGCCCCAGCACGGGTGCCACGGGTGCGGGGGCTGAGGGGGACCGCCCGCCGGGCGACCTCAGCTGGCCCAAGCGTGAGAGGTCGCCCAGCCGCCACCGGCCCAAGCGCGAGAGGTCGCCCAGCCACAGTCTGGCGCGGGACCCAGCGTGGGCGCGGCGCGGCGACACCCCGCCCGGCCGCACGCGGCGTAAGACCGGGAAGCACGCTGGGCAGCTTCGCGCTCCTCGCGGCGGCTGGTACGAGCAGGAGAAAAAGCGGCGGCGTGCTGCCGCCGCGGAGGCTGCCGCGGGCGGGGGTGGGATCCCAGCCTGGCGTGGCAAGGGCGCGGGCGACAAGGGCGGCAAGGGCGGCAAGGTCAAGGGCAAGTACTCCGGCAAGGCCGCCAAGGGCTCCAAGAGCGGCGGCAAGGGCGACAAGAGCGGCAAGGGCGGCCACTCCAAGGGCGACCAGGGCAGCCGCGGCCGGAGCGAGCGCGACTGGCCCAGCGCGGACGGTCGCGCGTCGAGGGGCGGCGATGGCAGCAGCCCCCGGGACCCCAGTGAGCGCGGCGGAGACCGCAGCGGAGGCGAGAGCCGCGACCGCCGGGGGAACACGCCCTCCATCTAGGCGTGGAGCTCCCCCCCGTACCCCGACGCCAGCGCCCGCGGCATCGCGGGCGCGGGCTGAAGGCGGCGGCCTGTGAGTGAGTCGGCCCTCCTCTCAGCCTACCGTGCGCAGGTGGCGCCTGCGATCCTTGAGCCTACGGTACGCAGGTGGCGCCTGCGATCTTGTTTCTTTTAGCCTACGGTACGCAGGTGGCGCCTGCGATCTCTTTCTTTTAGCCTACGGTACGCAGGTGGCGCCTGCGATCCTCCCTCTTGGAGGAGTTTAACGCTGCGCGCACGTCGCGTGCTTCCTGGACCCGGCCGTGCTGCGCGTCTTGCGCGCCGTGCGGTCGGGGCCACACTTGCGCTCTGCGCCCGGCGCCTCGTGCGCCGCCACCCTTTTCGGTTCTTTTGCGCGCATCGCGCACGCGCCGCGCCCGCGCTCTGGGTGCGCGGGCGCGGAAGGCCTCAAGGTTGCAGGCAAGTGGCCGCGCGCGCGAGGCTCTTGCAGCCTCTGATCCCGCCCTCGCACTCGGGCGGGGCGCCCCCCGCGCGCGCGGCTGCGTCTTTCTTTTCTCATGGCCGAGCGGCCGCAGGCGTGCCAGAGCGCGAGCGCGCGGGCCGTCAGGGCCCACGCGCTCGCGTTGAGCGTGGGGCCACCAGGGCCCACGCTCGGCGGAGATGCGCGTCGCCACGCTGCCATGAAAATACCATCGCCCTGTCCTGGTCCCTCTCTCGTCCCCTCCTCTCCTCCTCCTCCTCCGTTGAGTGCACGCGTATCTCACTTAACTTGTATAGTCTGATTGGTTGTAGACTGCAGGTTAAGTGGGAGGGGGTGTGGGCTCAGGTAGCCATTTTGGGTCCGTAGCGTTCGGCTCTGGCCGACGCGCGGGTGCCCACCCACCCCGCTTTGCTCCCAGACGCCTGCGTCGGCCGAGCGGCCGCAGGCGTGCCAGAGCGCGAGCGCGCGGGCCGTCAGGGCCCACGCGCTCGCGTTGAGCGTGGGGCCACCAGGGCCCACGCTCGGCGGAGATGCGCGTCGCCACGCTGCCATGAAAATACCATCGCCCTGTCCTGGTCCCTCTCTCGTCCCCTCCTCTCCTCCTCCTCCTCCGTTGAGTGCACGCGTATCTCACTTAACCACGAGCAAAAGCAAATTCGCCCGTTGTGCCAGAAATGCGGCGCCAGGATCTCAGGATCCTTCCCCCCTGTCCGCTGGTCGACGACGACGACGACAGCGGCGACGGCGACGACGACGGCGATTCGGACGACGACGGCGTCAACGACGGCGACTAGGACGACGGCGGCGACGACGAGCGCGACGGCGGCGACGACGAACGGGGAGGGGTGCGCCGCCGCCGCCCCGTCCCCATGAAGTAACCCCCGTGAGGATCCGGCCTAAATTGCAGGTAACCCCGCCACGAAGTAATCCCCATGACGTAACCCCCATGAAGTAACCCCCGTGAGGTCCGGGAACGGCCTCCCTCCTCATCCTCTTGCTCCCCCCTCCCCGCTTTCTTTCTTTCTCTTTGTTCCTCCTTTCTCCCCCTTGAACGGAGGAACTCGTCGACGAAATTGATCAGATTCACGCTGTGGGCCATGGACTGGGGCGACGACGGCTGTATTACACTTTGGTTCCAGGAGCGATGTCAGATTTGTCCCTGCCTCGACGGCTCAAAAAAAAAACGCGGCCGCCGACGTGGCCCGCGTCAGCCCGCTCAAGAAACGGGACAGCGACCGAGCAACGGGACGACGGCGACGGCTGCGGCGTCGACGGCGTCGACGGCGACGACGCACGTCGCACGCCGCACGCCGCCCGCACAGGAGCGCCTCAAGGACCTCAGCGAGCAGCGCCGCGTGTTGCAGGCGCTGCAGGAGCTGCGCAAGGCCGCGGCGGCGTGTGCACCTGCCGTCGCCCGTCGTCCTTGTTGTCCTCGTCTTCGTCGCCGTAGTCGTCGATCGATCGGGGTCGTGTTTTTCCCAACCATCCTGTGTTGGGTCCTCGTTTTGAAGAGACAGCGCCCCGCGTTCATCCTCCTTCCTCCTCGCCTCCTCCTCGTCCTCCCCCTCCTTCCTCCTCCCTCCTCCCTCCTCCTCCTCCCCCTCTACCCTCCGCGCGGCCATTTTGGCACACCTATCACACGGTTCGTGGCCCCATAGGGAGCTCCACCGAAGGCCCCAGTGGCCGCGTCCGCATGCGCCCTCCCCGCCCACCGCATGCCCATTCTGGCACACCCCTCACACGGTTCGTGGCCCCATAGGGAGCCAAGCCATGTGATGTAATCTATGTGGCGCACTTGTGCGAAGCCGCGACGAGGCGGCGATGTGGCGGCGACGGCGACAACATAGCCGCCAGACCGACAATCCGGCCCAGACGACGGGCGGTGACGGGGCGGCGACGGCGGCACCATATCCGCCAGACCGACAATCAGGCCCAGTTCCTTTGACTAGAAGTAAGAACCCCTAAGTGCAAACTCTGTGTTGTAAATGCGTACGTACATACATATTTACGTATGTGTATATATATGTATGTGTATGTACACATATATATATATATCCATATACACAACGTTTCGCGGCACCACGTCCGGACTGTCGGGAGCCTTCTGAAGGCGGAGTTTGGGGGCTTTTAGGACTGATTTGGCAGGACTCTTGGAGGATCTTGGAGCGTTTTTGATGTTTCTTGGACCGTTTGGAGTCCATCTTGGACTGTGGCGCGGAGAAGCGCCATAGCGGCGAAGGCACGCTCGGGAGTAGGGGTGGTGCAGTCAAGCGTCTGCGGCCCGCGGAGGGGGTATGTGCTTCGAAGATTGTTCTATGCATCAACGTGTTAAGGCACGGTGGCGCATTTGTAGCTCCGATCAAGCGCGACTCGCCCATGACGTCGATACTTAAAAAGCCAGAGCCGGATTGAGAGATCAAGTGAGGGATGCATGGAGGCTCGGCGGGGTCTGGATGTAGGAGGCCGGAGAGGAGCAGGGTGCAATGGAGGGACGGTGGACTGAGGGATGAATGAATGGATGGAGGGTAGAAGGAGGGTGGAGGGATGGAGAAGACTGGAGAAGTGGGCGGCGGCTGGAGGGAGGCTGCATGGGGGGACGCTGCATGGGGAAAGTGGCTGGAAAAGCAGGAATCGAGGAATCGACGAACACTTGATGGAGGGATCGATGGTAGGTCATGGATGAAGGCTGGAGGAGGAGAGGGTTGAAGGGAGGGTGGATGGAAGCATGGTGGATGAAAGGAGGATGGGTTCTAGAGTGCTCGAGGAGGATAATCAGGATTCTCACGAGGAGGAACAGCAGGGGCATAGGAGGATAGTTGAGGGTATGTAGGGTATTTCGACCAGTGCTAAGTACTCCCATCAAATCGGGTCTACTGGTTGGAGTGCGCCAGAGGAAGGATAGAAGAAGGAGGACGATGAGGAGGTAATGGATGCCTTGGGCAGTTGTGCTCCTCTCGCGGCTAGGGCTCAATACTCCCATGTGTTCGGGCATTTGTTTTGTTCGCGATCTTGCACTCTTGTGCGCAACGTCGGATCTCAGGGAAGGAGGAGGTTTTAGAGGGTTGGTTTTCTGCTGTGGAAAAGGGGGTTATCCCCTCCTTCCCCTCTCCAGCCTTCCGATCCGCCCGCTCCCGTCTTTTTATGTTATGTGTCTCTACCTTCCTACCTCTCCTCCACTTTGTTTTTTGTGTTTATTATTGTTGGTTCTATCTCTCTCTCTGTCTCTCTCTTTCTTACCTGTCTGTTCCTTTCTCTGTCCGCTCTTCCCTCCGCCTCTCTGTCTCCCGCGGGGGCTCCGAGTCCGAGGACGCATCTTACCTTCCCCTCCCGTTCCTCCCTCCCCCCCCTCCCCTTCCCCCCTCCCCCTCCGCAGCCCTTCCCGACCCCTCCCCTCTCTTCCTTCCCAAACCTCCTGGCCGCCTTCGCTGCTGTCGTCCGCGTCGTCGCCCATGCCCTCGTCGTCGCCGTCGCCGCTCGCCATCCTCCTTTCCCTCGCCGTCCTCGCCGTTCGTGACGCCGTTCGACGGCCGGCGGCGTCCTTGCCTTCCCCTCAGATCTGGGTTGCAGAAAACGCAACGTCGCGAAAATTCACGCCCAGAGCCCCGGACCCCGTCTCCCCGCCTCGTTTCCGAGCCTGATCTGTGAGGGTCTGGGGCCCGAGGCCGGGCGAGAAAGCCCCTCGCGAAGACTTGCCACGCCAGGATCTGAGGGTCCTCGCCGCCGACGCCGTGCGGCCGCCCTCGTGGCGCCGTCCGGCCGCCCTCGTGGCGCGGCCCCGCGGGGGGAGAGGCCAGCTTCGACCTCACGGCGGAGACGCCGATGCAGCAGCGGCGGCGGGCCTCGCCCGCGGAGCAGGCCGCGCGGGCAGCCCGGGGAGGGCGGACGCCGCCGCCGCTGGTGGACGGATCGGTCGAGGGTCGATCGAGGTAGCCTCGATCGGTCTGTCGGTCTTCAGGGTCGAACCTCGGCCCCCTCGAAGGTGACCTCGATCGAGGATCGATCGCGGCAACCTCGATCGAAACCGCCGTTCGGGGCGCCTGGGCCTTCAGGGTCGAACGTCGAAAAGGTTGGGCCCTGAGATTCTAGGCATCCCAAATGGGGTCAGAGTAGGTGGGGTCGAAGGATCGCTCCGCATCGCCGATGTATTGGCGATGCGGCTCGATGTGGGGCCCGATGATCGCCACGCCGATGGCGCCGATCCATCGGCGACGTCGCCGATGCATCGCCGATGCGGCGTGATCCTCCGACCCCGTCTGCTACTCGGACCCCATCCGGGACCCCATCGAGCGGTTTTGCCTCGTTTCGGGCCCCTGGACCGATGTTGCAGTTTGTTATTACGTCGGATCTCTATGGAGAGGCAAGTGTTTCACCATCTTCGACCTCTTGGGTCCCGTTGCGGGCCCCGGGGCCGTCAAACGTGTATCAGGGATGAGGAGCTGGCTGGGAATGTCCCCGGGAGGGGTCCAGGGACCGAGTTTGAGAGGACTTCGGGGTCAGTCGTCGTCGCTGCCGTCGTGGATTTGTCGTTGTCGGGAGGAGTAGTAGCAGCAGCAGCAGCAGCAGCACCAGTAGAGGAGAATCAGCGGTAGAGGAGGATGAGGGGGAGGGAAAGTGATAATGAGCCTGTTTTTGATTTCCCGCGATAGCGGCCGTCACCTGCCCCGCATCCCCTCGCATGGTGACGTCACGTTCTGCGCTGGCGGCCTGTAGGTGGCGACCTGAACCACAGCGCCCGCGTACACCATGGTGCTCGCGTGCACCACAGCGCGCGGGTACACCATAGCTTCTGTGCACACCGAAACAGCAGTGTGCAACGCAGCGCCTGTGCACACCAGCGTGCACAACAGCGCCTGTGTACACCACGGTTGCCTGTGTGTACCACAGCAACCGTGCGCAACAGAACACCATTGTTGTATGTAGGAGTTTCGAAGGAACCCTTCTGACAACATGGAGCGCCTATGGACCTAACCTAATACATTCCCCGGAAAGAGTAGAATTAGCAGCAGCAGCAGCATTGGCAGGAGCATCAGGATCTGGAGCAAGATGAGTAGCATGGGTGGTTTTCGAGGTTTGATGACAGGGGACCCGAGGTGGATTGGGCCCGAGCGTGCGGCAGGTGGGCAGAGATACGGCGAGGGAGCCGAGAGGGTTCGGCGATGCGATTCGCTCGACCAGGTGGTACCCGCTCGTGCTTGTCGGCTGGAGTCACTTTGTGCGTTGGCCTTCCAAGCGGATAGCCGTCCTCCTTCTCTTCCTCCTCCTCTTCTTCCTCTTTGTCTCGTTTTTGTTTCTTCGTTTTCTCCTGCTCGTCCTCCTCCTCCCAGCTTCTCCCTCTTCCCTCGCCCATCCTCAGTCCTTCCTTCCCCCCCCTCGCCCTACCCTTCCTCCATCAGTCTCCCCCGCCTGTCCCACTCCTCCCTTCCTCTCTCTTTGATCTCCTGTTCCTCCTCCTCGTCCCCATCCCTCCTCCTCCGCCTCCTCCTCCTCTTCGTTTCCATTCCATGGACTCGGTCCTCGTCGATCTTGGCTCGAAGTCCCTCCAGGACCTCCTCCGCCGAGAGACACGCAAGCGGAAGCAATGTAGTGCGAGAGTGAAGGAGGCAGAGGCCGCCCTCGAGGCAGCCAAGAAGTCAGCCGACGACCTCCGCCCACAGCTCGCCACGCATGAAGACAACCTCAAGAGGATCAAGTCCGCCAGCATCGCCAAGCAGGCGAAGGCGGTCATCCCAAGTCAGGACGCCATTGGCCAAGATGTCGCCAGCGGGAGTGAGCTGCTGGACTCCGGCAAGATGCTGGAGGCAGTGGGCTCGCACTTCGGTATGGACATGGCACCCAAACTACTGCAGCCAAGCTCCAAGAGCAGAAGGATACGGCTGCAGCAGACGCTCGGGCTCCTGAGTCTGGTCCCGCTGGTGCTCCTGTTGACGACGATGCTGACTCTGACGACGGTGAAGGGGGACCTTCAGGAGGCATGGACTTCGAATCCAGAGTCGCGTTCGATGCTGACGACCCTGAAGTTCAAAACCCCCTCAGGAGTGCCAGTGTCAACGTCATTGACAAGGGCGGCGTCAAACGTTTCCTCGAAGCGTTGGGCAATGCTGCCAAGCGCCCATAGCGGCTTTGATGGTGTTCGCGGACGTCCTTTTCCACGCGATGCTCTACGTGCCGAGAGGAGGTACGGCCCCCGCCCTATGGCAACAGCAACCCTGCAGACAACGCCTCAACCCCGTGCCGCGCCAACGGGGGGGAGTCGGGACGCTCGAGTCTCAGGGTTGGCCGTGGCAAATCCCCCTGAAGTTCAGCCAGCTGGGCGTGGAGCCCTGCTGGAGGCCCAAGATGGGCATTCGATTTCTCTGTGGACGGCCAGCTCTTCAGGCTGGTCGTCGGCGCAGACGTTGTTGGAGCGGGGGCGTGACAGTCCAAGTCGGTTCCTGCCGGACGTGTTGTGTTTGCAGGAGCATTGCATCAAGAGCGGTGTTCTACAGGACGCAACAGTGAAGGGGGCAAGCAAAAGGACATACTACATGTATGGGTGTCGTGCTGGATCAACTGGATATGGAGCTCTTCATTCTAGTGGTGGCGAAAGTATGCTCGGCAGATCGGTGGCCGGCAGGGGGCCGCAGGTTTTGCAGGAGAAAGTGCTAACAGCGCGCAGAGTGTAGGCTGCTCGCCTCAATATTGGGATACCCTTTTCCGCTGCACGTGGTTTCGCTTTACCTGATCACGGGCATCGGCCTTGCTAGAGGCAGCATCGATATTATGGCGTAACTCTTGGAATACCTGGGCTTGCTGTCAGGTCGTTGGTTTCTGATGGGGGCTTCAGCATGTTGCCTGCAGACGTGGCTGGGTGGGCGTCTCGTGCTCAAGGGAAGGTGCTCAACGCAGGAGTGCCGACATGTGGGGGTCGCGAGATTGACTTCGCCATCTGCTCCAAAGTGGTATCGGGCTTCGTTCAGTCAGTGGTACCGATCGAGGGCCCGACGGTGCAGACGCATATCCCTGCTCATGTGCGTCTACGTGGTCTTGGCAGGCAGGCCACAGTGATGCGCCCTGGTTTTCTCTCAAGTTCCTGATCAGCCAGCCGCCGCCAGTGCGGCCATCTCCACAGGAGGCCCCTAACAGCGGGTGGCATCGGGCGATTGGCGGGGCACCCCCGCGTGATCTCGGCCAGGCGCGTGCTGTTCGGTTCCGCCATGCGGAGGCCTACCTGTCGGAGTTTCACGATCTCCCGGGCTGGGCCCACGGGGCCTGGCGAGGTAGAGCGGGAGGTTTCAATATTGCGAATGGGTTTCGCGTTCAAGCTTGGGGCCGATCTCCTAAGCGTCATCCGAGTGAACAGTTCAAGTGTTGGGCTCGTTGTTGCGCGGGGGCCCGTCGTTCTCTGGAATTGGGGAACGCAGCCAGAGCTCGGCGCGATCTTGCCACACTTCGCACGCTCACAAAGGTGATCGGTAGGATTGTGCTTAACTGCTGGCCCGTAGAGGGCCCGCTGAGTAAGTGGTCTGAAGCCCCCCGTCAGGATCTCGTCAGCTTGCATGTTTTAAGAATCCAAGAGGATTTGGCGAGGGTCTTACAGCGCGGATGATGTCTCAGGCCACGTCGCTGGGGGCAAATCTCTGCGCGTGACCCTCGAGGCGCGCGTGCCACTGTGGAGTGTCCTGCGGCCAGGTGCCTCGTGCAGGCGCCATTCCACAGGGGGTGGGTATATGCTGACTGGCTGTCTTGCTCGCTCATCCATCTCACGCGCAGCCCCGTGGAGTTGCGAGGCGACGCATGGCCAACCTCCAGAAGCTTCCGAAGGCTGAAGCAGACAGAGCTTGGCGAGAGTGGGCCCTGGCCGCGGGCAAGAAGAGCGACAGCTGCGCCTTTCGGCGCGTCGGGGGCTCTGCGCAGCCCTCGGTCATGGAGGCGGCGGCCGATGATGAAAGCCCGTCGTTGCCTGTTGCAGGTCAAGGGGCCTTGGATTTAATCGCGCAGCAGACGTGGGCGCCTCTCTGGGTCAACGCTGTTAGAGCGGAGGAGCAGCGCCCCGCGGCCTGGGACATTCCCCGGCCTGGGGCTGGGTGCGTAGAAGTCGGCGGAGGTACTTCTTCGGGCGGGGGCCCTCCTGGCTCCTGCGCGGTGGGGGGGCCGGCAAGAAGACTGGGTTCCTTTTGCCGTGCTGCTGGCCATTCCCATGGGGCAGCCTGATCGCGCGCCCCTTCGCTGCCCTGCGCGCGCGGGGTTGGGCCGGGACAAGCCCCGCCCTAAACGGGCGCCCTGCCCCCCCCCCTCCGGCCGCCAGGAATTCCTCGACATTCCGCATGTCTGGGGCGGACGCCTGACGAGCAGGACCTCTTGACGTTATATGCGTTTGCTTAGCGTGCCCCGGCGCCCAGGAGGAGCGAGGCCCAGCGTGCCGTTGTCGATCTGGACCCGCGCGCGGTCGAGGCGCCGCCGGGCCGTCGCGCGTCGATGGAGGCAGCCCCTGTCGAGCGCTGCCTTCTGGGGTGATCTTGGGCGCGCGCGCGCGATGGGCCTGGCCCGGCGCGCAATGTCCCGCAGCGTTTCGCGCGCTTGAAGGAATTCTTGGCGGCCAGCGGTTTGCTTGATCTCTCTGGGCACTACGAATGCATTCCCCTTGGGGATCTGAAGCAGGACGCCATCGGCACGGGCTTGCCTCCGGCTCTCATGAGGGGCCTCTGGTCGGAGCGCGGCTTACTCGACGCGAAGTCTGGCAGGGGGCAGTCTGCTCGGCAGTTTCAACGAATGGTATTGCGGCGGCTGGATGCAGCTGCTACGCCCTGCGCCCTCCAAGTCGAGCTGTAGAGAATGTGTCCTGCGGCTCGGTTCCGAAACCTCGTGGGCGATTTGTCCCCCCCCCCCCCCCCCAGGCGCTCGGCGCGGCTGAGCAAGTCCTTTCCCGGTCCCCCCAGGCCATGATGGCCTTGGTCAGCGAGGCTCCAGGGCAAACAGCTCCGCGCGAATTGGGACACGACTGCCTACATTGTTTCCTCAGGGAGCTAGCAGCCCAGCTTACTGGCAAGTGGGCCCTGGGTGGTGAGGGTCGCCCAGTAGGGACTTGGTGCCTTGGCACCGACGCTGATGAGAGGTCGGCTCGGATGGTGGGGGAGCAGGACATGCGCGTCGCCAAGGCAAATTCAGTCTCGTCGAGAGTGCAGCAGCTATGCGCTGCTGGAGCACCTGTCAGCACGCTTCAGAGGGGGTCTCCTTCGGCGGCGGCGGCGCGGGGGGGTGCGGTCACATGTCTCTCGGGCCATAAGTTGCACGGGGAGAGGGCGTCGGCCCTGCGCGCGGAGGGCCGCCCCCCCGCCGGCACCTTTGTCGGCCGCAGGCTTCGCGTGTTCCCCTGGGGCTCTTCCAGGGACCCTTGGATTATTCATGCTGCTGAAGTGGCTGAGCAACGGTCGTTCTCGGTCCTGTCTGAGCTGCCTGGGCGCGGCCCGCGCAGGCTGTGCGGTAGGCGGGCGGGGGCCTCCTAGGCGAAGCCAAGCCTTGGGCCATATGCGTTGACCCTGGGCAAGATCCGCTGCTTTGCGTGGCTCGAGTAGGCATCGTGATGCCGACTGCGCTTGCCATCATCTTTCACGGCATTGAGTATTCGATGCTCGAATTCACGGCTTGTTTTATTGTTGGCAGAGCGCGCGAGGCTGCAGCGGTCGCCTCCGATGTGCTCGATCTGGGGCCCTCTTTGTCATCTGCCCTCCAGGAGCGACTCCGAGACTTGGGCCAGGCATCGCGAGATCGCGGCGGGAAGTCTGGTGGGAGGTCGCGCTGGCCCCAAGACAGGCTCCACAGACGCGGCGAGACCCAGCACGGGAGGTGTTTGGTTCGCGGAGGGCCCGGCGCGCTCGCCCACCGTTTTTGCGCGAGCGCCCGTGCGTCGAGGCGCACCGACGAGGCGAGTGCCCGCCGCATCTGCGGCAGGCTGCTAAAATTCTTTACGCTTCGCGTATCCCCACCAGCCCATCTCACAACAGCAACTCTTGCGAAGCATGCCGACAGTCGTGTTTTTCAGGCGTGTGTCCGCTCGGCCCCGCATATCTCCCTTGTTCCTCCTTCCTCCCGCCTCCTTGCACATCCTCCTTGTGGGGGCAGCGGGAGAAGGGCGAGGCGGAGGGGGAGGGAGAGAAAGCGCTCCTCGTGGTTTGAGTCGTTTGGGGTTTCTCGTCCTGGTGTGAGTCGTTCGGGCCCTTTTTCCTGGTGTGAGTCGTTCGGGCTCTTCGTGGTGTGAGTCGTTCGGGCTCTTCGTCCTGGTGTGGGTCGTTCGGGCTTCTCGTGGTGTGAGTTGTTCGGGCCCCTCGTCCTGGTGTGAGTCGTTCGGGCCCCTCCTCCTGGTGTGACTCGTTCGGGCTCCTCGTGGTGTGAGTCGTTCGGGGCCCTCGTCGTGGTGTGAGTCGTTCGGGCTCCTCGTGGTGTGAGTCGTTCGGGCGCCTCGTCCTGGTGTGAGTCGTTCGGGCCCCTCCTTGTGGTGTGAGTCGTTCGGGCTCTTCGTGGTGTGAGTCGTTCGGGCCCCTCGTCCTGGTGTGAGTCGTTCGGGCTCCTCGTGGGGCCTCTTGGGGGCCTCTTGGAGCCTCTTGGGGCCTCTTGGGGGCCTCTTGGGGGCTTCTTGGGGGCCTCTTGAGGGCCTCTTGGGGCCTCTTGGGGCCTCTTGGGGGCCTCTTGGGGGCCTCTTGGGGGCCTCTTGGGGCCTCTTGGGGGCTTCTGGGGGGCCTCTTGGAGGCCTCCTGGGAGCCTCCTGGGGGCCTCTTGGGGCCATCTTGGGGCCTCTTGCGACCTCCTCAGAAGCGCAAGTGAGCGCTGCCCCCTGAGAAGGACAAAATGAGCCCAAAACCTTCGTACACACAATGATTTTGCTATGAAGGAAGAAGAGCGCGGCCCCCTTCCGAAGGCCAAAATGGGGCCAACACCCTAGTAAAATCAATGGTTTTTGCTTCAAAGACGAGCAGGGGGGCCAAACTGCCCCCCCCCCTCGGGGCCAGAATCCTCGTGAGGGTCGTCGTTTCTTGGCCCTCCCAGGAGTCGAAAAAGACCCCCCTGACTACGCTCGGGAGTCCCTCTCCAGGCCCAGGGGGAGGGGGTAGGGGGAGGGGTAAACCCCTCCCCGAAGGGGAAGAAGGGGGGTTGAGGACAGGGGGGTGAGAACAGAGCGGGCTCTCTAAACCACTCACGCCCAAAGGGCTGGTGGGATTATACGCTCTGTGTTTCTAAAGCTTGTTGACGCGTTCGCCAGGTCTCTTCCCGTCTCCAGCTCGGCGCTGCCCGATTCCGGAGGTTTGGGTGGAAGACCAGTTCATCTGGATTCAGGTTCGTGGGGGCTGGGAATTATCTTGCAGAGTTCTCGTGGGCGGGAATGCCTTGTACTGCCGCTTCTCTGGGCTATCGGGCCGGCTGGTCCAGTATCCAGATGGATGGCAGTGGCGGACTTGTTGCAGGAGCGTTCGGGGTGGCCCCGCTCAGCCGCGCACCTAATCAAGTCGCGCGTGACGGCGAGGATCGAGTCTTTCAGGTCCTCGCTGTATATTCGGAGCGAAACCCCGAGGACCCGCTGACCGTATTTCCAGGTTGCGCTGGCCCCATCGAGTGCGCGACGAAACCAGGCGCGGCCCTCGACCCCACGAATAGAGGGCGCTTCTGGGTCCGCTGGTGGGGAGGGATCAGCCACCACGCGTCTGTCGTGAAAGTGAAGTCTCGTCGCTCTCGCTCGTCCGCCACCGGTTTCGCGGATGATTGGCTGACCGCTGGGCGGAAAAAAAGGTGCTGCGCGTGGCCGGCCCCCCGCCCGCAGGCCGCCCATGTGCAGGGGGTCGAGGTCATGGCCCATGGCGTGTCGAGGTGGCATGCGAGGGCCCGACAGAGTTGTTCGCTGATGGGACCATGTCGACTCTGAGCGGGTTGATGGGGCCTCGGATCTCATCTTCGACGCGGCCAAGGAGGAGGGCGTTCAGCCCTTCGAGGGAGTTCCAGGAGTGGCCCCTGTGGGAGTGGCTGCCTCAGATCTCCAGGACCGTGGGCTTCCTTGGGCGCTCAACTCACACTCGGTCGTCGCAGCGTCGGTGGCGCCCCTTGATTTAGGAGCGGCCCCTGGGCCCCGACGCTTTATTTCGCAAAGTTTGCGGGCCCTCGGTGCGCAAGAAAGTTCGGTCGGGTGAGGGGCTAGACGGGGTGTGCCGTGGAAGGGATGCGCCAGGCCTGCGGACTCAGCGTTCTCTCCTCCGTCGATATCGCATAGCAGGGCGCGTGAATGCGAGGATCGTGGACGTCCGCGGCCCGTCAGGTGCCGACGTCGAGGCCTGGGCGGGCCGCTTTCCCTCCCTGGCCGGAGGCTCGGGGATTCAGGATGCAGGAGGAGGAGAGCCTCAGTCGCATGCGCCTGCGATCAGCGTGGTCAGGCATGGCACCACTGCGCCGCTCCTCGACGATGGTTCGGTCGCCCTGTTGCATGGTTTTCAGTCCCCCTCTGCGTTTTTTGAGTTTTCTCGCACTTTGGAGGAGAGGGGTGGCCCTGCACTGTTTGTAGGCCTTCGGAGGAACCTGCATAAGCAGACCATTTCTCCGAGGAGAGGGGGCTGGACTTTTGCCCCATGTAGTCAGCACGATCAGCACCCTCCTCCTCCTCGTCGTCCTCCTCCTCCATCGCCCCAGTCGTTGCTCCTCTTCTTCCTCGTCGCCCTGTCTCCTGCGGCCCTGCGGCCGCCTGCGCCTGAACGCGCTGCCGACCGAACGGCGGGGGCGAGAGTCGCGAAACCGAGATATCTTTGGGCCGCGGCCGTCCTCAGGGCAGCGGCCTCGCCGACCTCACCAGCGCCGGCGACCCCGAGGAGCCTGTTGGATCAGAAGGGAGGCGCGGGATGGGGGGGGGGGGCCGAGGAGGAAGGCATTGCATTTGAGGGGGAGGAGGAGGAGGAGGAGGAGGAGGAGGAGGAGGAGGAGGAGGAGGAGGAGGAGGAGGAGGAGAGGAAGAGGAGGATATTCAGGAGGTAGGAGCTTGGAGGAGGAGCGGAAGGCGATGGAAAGGGAGAGGAGGAGCGAGAGGGGGAGGCAGACGAGCAGGCAGACGAGCAGGCAGGCAGACAGACAGAGAGACAGACAGAACAGGGACAAACAGACAGAGAGAGATGGAGAGAGAAAAGAGAGGGGGAGAGAGAACCAGAAATATACATATAGAGAGAGAGAGAGAGCGCGCAACGAGAGAGAAGAAGAGAGTCAGACATAATGAACGATAGAAAGACATAGTCGCGTAGCTCACACATCATGACCGCCAGCTTCGGCTCTCCTGCTTGCTCTGCGCGCTTGCCGCAGCAGCTTCCCCCCTCTCCTCCCCCATCCTCCCCACTGTGAGGCTGCTCCTCCTCTCCTTCTCCCTTGGTGGCTGCCCGTCTAGATGTAATGTCGCCTGTTCAGGTGGCGTGGATACGCACAGGCAATGTGCGTGCTGACTTGCATGCACGGCGAGGGCATGCATCTTGCCGATTCGGATGCTATGAATCGCCGCTCGCGAACTCATATAATTGTTGAGCACGTTTGCGTGTTTGTCGCCATCGTGGCCAGTGAGGTCTTTGGCCACTTCTTCTTGACCCGCCTCGCGCAGTATTGGGGACATCGTGATGACATTTTGCCCTTGCATGTTTGTTGAGATGCGGGTGGGTTGGCGCGCGTTCGGAGTCCCACCCCTTGCGGCATTTCTATGCCGCGGCAACCGTTGCTGACCGGGGTGCGCAGCAGGCGCGGCATCCCCCCCCTCGTGTTTCACGCTTTCCCTTCAGGACTTGCCCCCCTCTCGGGGCAAGTCGCTCCAGCTTCTGGCCTCCCATCTCCCCACCTCTCCTTCCCCTCGGGGGGTCCCAGGTCCGCGATGACGCCCGTCGGCGGATGAAGAACAAGTCCGCGCAACGGGAAGGGATGGGTGGGAGGGGCAGGATGATAGATGTGGCGCGAGCGCACCCAGATTGCCCTCCCCTACTGCTTCCCCCTCTCCTCCCCCTTCCCCTTGCCCTGCTCCTCCTCCTCCTCCTCCTCCTCCTCCGTCTCCTTTCCTTGTAAATGAATGCTCCCTGACGACAGCGACCGGGACAACCCTCACCACGACGACCACCCGACGGCCACGATGACGCCCACGACGGCGGCGACGGCGGCGGCGCCGCCGTCCGCGCAGAAGCAGGAGACCACGCCAGCGGCCTCGAGCGGGGCGCCGGCCGCGGCGGGCGCCTCGGGACCCTTCCCCCGCCCCAAAACATGGAAGAGCAGCCGTGACGCGATGCAGGAGGGAGGAGGAGGGAGGAGGGAGGACGGGGAGGAGGCAGTTGTTCAGCTTAGCGTTTCGGCGTTCGAGTCGACTTTCCACCTCCCTCCACGACCAGGTGAGGGCATAGGCTATGCCCTTGCGGGCCCTCTATTATTTTCTTGTTTCTCGTTGCCTGCATGTTTCTGGGTCATTCTTGTCAGCCCAGCCTCTAAGACTGTGTTTACGGGTTGCTTCATTGCTGGCACGGTTCCGTTACCAAATTCTGTCCAACGTGATTGGAAGGATGCAGAGGGTCATAGTATACACCCGAGATCGGTCAACGATTTTGCAATCTCTTTTCCTGTCCCAAGTCCCATCCTCACTAGTCCCTACAAGCCTTCCTTTCCATTTCAAGAGACGCCCTGTCTGAACGACCAGCACCCTGTGAGTCTGCCATGCAGGCGAGAGCCCCGATTTGAAACGGGACGCCAACTGCCTTGCGTAGATACAGCGAGTAATGAGAAACGTTTAAGATGTCCAGCAGCCTCCCCAGTGTGAAAGCGAATCGCCCCCAGCTGTGTAACCCTTGCACAGTATTTTATTGTTAACCGCGAGCGGCGACGAAGTCTCGAGCGAAAGCTTGCAGAGGGGGCGGGACGCGGGGAACGAAGGGCTTGAGAGAGCTCGGGAGGCCCAGGCAGAGGCTTAGGAAGGGCGAGAGGAGGAGAAACAACAACAGGAGGACCATGGCACAGGGGGAAGACGAGAAGGATGAGAACGCAGTAGACGGGGCGAGGATCAGGATTCGGACAGCGGTAGTGAATGAGTGTTAGGCGAGGGAGGGGAGAGACAGGAGGAGTGAAGGAGGAGGAGGAGGAGGAAGTGGCGGTGGCGGACAGCGGAGAGCGGACGAGGTGGAAGCCAGAGTTTCGTTTTCCCATTGGCGATTCCATCGCGGCCACCATCTTGGTTTCTGGATAAGCACGTCGAGTTCGCAGAAGGCCCGAGCACGTCAGACCCTGTTTCTCGATCCTCCCTCCCCCACCCTGTCTACACGTATTCCTCCGCCCCTCCCAGCCCCCTCGTGCCCTCCTCCCCTTCCCCACACACAATCCCGGCACCGCTTACCCCTCATCTTCACCCCCACAGTTCCCCATCCTTTTCCCGCGCCGGCGGCCTTCCCATCGACGCCTCTTCCACTTCCCCATTCCTGGACCTCGTTCCCCTTTGCGGGCGCGAGCGAGGCCAACCTAGAATCCTTGAATCCTTCGCTTCCTCATTCACCGCCCTTCGCGCCGTTCCCTGAGGAGGAGCAGCCATCATAACGTCTGGGACGGCCAAGAGGGGGTTGATGGTGGGATATCATGGCAGCGGCCATGACATTGACCCAGATCTCATGGCCTTTCTTCCTCCTTCCATGCGTTCCCTGGCCCCCCCTCGTCCCCCCACATGCCTGGGGCCTTGATTTGCGACACCCCTCTTGGACGCCCTACTCCACATGGATCCGATGTCTTGGTCATTTCAATATGCGGTCTCCAAAAGTCCTGACCCATTCCCCAGGACAAGTTGTCCCGTCCCGAGTTTTTTCTTTAACGGACCCGCGGCAAGAAATGGCGAGAATCGTTCCGTCATGTTTGTTTCGTGACGCGAGCCTCTTGAACGCCTTCCTTCGTCGACCCCCCCCCCGAGAACGGGCATCTCATAGCGGCCCGATGCGCTGCGCGGCGAGGAGGATCCCGCTCTCGCCTTCTCCTGCGCTCCATGGGCAGTGGGCCGTTGGTCGCCCGAGGCGCACGAGTTCCACACGCTCGCGCACACCCTCAAGCTGGCGCGCAGCCTGAGCGTGAAGATGGAGGCCCGCTTCGGGGGAGCGGAGAGGAGGAGATGTAGAGGGAGGTGGAGAGGGAGCAGGAAAAGAAGGAAGAGGAGGAGGAAGTGGAGTGGGATAAGAAAATGGAGGAGGAGGTTGAGGAGAGGGAGCAGGGAGGACACTCTGTTCGTTCAGATATGTGCTCGTGGACGCGCCCAGAAGCTAGTGGAGTGGCGTTCGTGGCTAGACCACTATGTTTGCAGCTTGGACGCGTGGTTGCTCCGACTTAGTCGACGCAACGTCTGGCTGACGGGATGCACCGCGACAGCCAGACACGATTCGTACTATTGGGAGGGAGGCGCGTTCATCCGTCGCCATGTCCGCGGTGCCCGGCGTCACTGGAGTGTGGAGTACCCCTGAAAGACTCGGCCACCCGTTCGGCGATTTATGGGGTCTTGGACCCAGACGTTTGTTGTTGCAGGTCGATTGCCGTCCAGTGCGGATTTTGCGATTGGTGGAGCACGTTTGCCAAACTACACGGACAGATTTCCATTCATCAGACATCCACGCAGCTTTTTCTTGCTGCGTCGCTCAGCTCGGTTGGTGGCGGACGCGTCCGACTTGGTCAAGCGGACCCCCCAGGATTACAGGAATCAGGGAGACCATGCGGCCAATGCGGCATTGGATGCTGAAGCAGACGATGACCACACGGATCCGCTAGCCATCCCGCCATCGCCTTCGAGAGCCCATGTTGCGAAGCTGTGCGTCGACGGCGGCTTCAGGAACACCAGGGCAGTAGCTATGGGGTCGACATGGGCGGGGCACCGCTCTCTTGAGGGCATTGCCTGCGAGTGTCGGGCTCCAGTGCGGCGCGGCTCCCTGTTACGCTCTGCAGAGGCGGCGGTTCGCACAGCGGCGCCCGTCACACGGCGAAGCACTGCAGCATTTCTGCAGACAGAGGGGAAGGAGGGTGTGAAAGCGAGAGCGCTGGACTGCCCAGCGTTTGCCCTTCGTCTCACCCGTATCGCTCCGTAAACATTATGGTTCCCAGGGCCCTTGAGCTTTAGGCGACACATGGAAAACAGAGCGCACCCATCGCAACACATATCAGAAGTCGCATCTTCACATTGTTTGCAGGAGCAATTCGAGCCACGGACTACAGTGGATTACCCGCTCCGACGGATTGTCTGTCAGCAGAGTTTCAGATTCGACGGACTGCCTGCCAGCAGCATTTCTCAGCTATGGCCTCCAAGCGGTAGCGGTCCGATGACGGTTGGGGAGCTCATATGACTCAGAACGACGACGAGGATGATACATTCGAGACATTCGGGACTCAAGTAGAGGACGATGACCCGCCAGAGGAGTTGCTCGATGAAGAGAGCGAAGCGGAGGCTGAAGCACATAAGTTGGAGAAAGTGTTGGCTAGAGCGGAGGATCGTCAGAAGGGCGCCAAGCAAACGAGAGCATTTTACTATCGAGATCGGCGCCCCGGCGGCAAAAGCAGCGGAAGAAAAGGCACTCACTCGGCGACTGCTGGAGGCAAGGGGGGCTCAGATCATCAAGAAGCTGAAAGCAATAACGCACTGTGCAGTATGTCAGCGACTCGGGCACTGGGAGGGAGATCCTGAATACCCTGGGCCGCCGAAAAATAAAACACATATGACGACAGCCGACGACCGCCGGGGAGAAGAGGACGGCGCCGACCAGCACTGCACGAGTTGGCAAAACAAGGGGGCAGCAGATCGCCGAACAGACCTTCTTCATCAACGACGCGATGATGACGGACACGGCGAACGTAATTGTGGCTCCGAAGGAGGAGCTGCTAGAGCAGTGCGAAGGCAGATTCGTGTTGTGCCAAGACGCTCGGAGGCCAGGCCAGGTGTGATGACATGAAGAAGAGGCTCGCCATGTTGGGCCTCGAGCCGATCGAGTTCGACGAACGAGAAGTTTTCAGATTCGGAGCGGGCAAGCCGATCACGAGCGCGATTGGAGCGTTAGTACCACTCGCAATATAGGGGCGCCATTTCACGCTGAGGATCTCCATCGCGTCATGCTTAGTGCCAGCACTGTTGTTTCAAGAGGCTCTTGGTCATCTGGGCGCTGTTCATGATCGCGAGGTCGAGGCTCGCGAGAGTACCGTGACATTCAGGCAGCTGGGAGTCGCCGACCGCAGGCTCGGCCGGGCCAAGCGCGGACATCCAAGTTCCGATGCGTTGCAGTTCAACAGGGCCCACCTTTTCACTATGGCTCCAGACGCGAGCCCGGGCCAGACAGAGGTCCCGCCATTTCCGCCATCGCAGCGCTTGCGGGGAAGTCTTGAAAAGGGGCCACGCCCATCGTCGTAGCGCTCTGGGGGCCTCCCGGGGGCGCGCCCAGGACATTCCGAGCGGGCCCCCAACGGGATCGCAGGGTGGACCCGGGCGAGATAACTTTCGACCAGTCCGAGAGCGACCCGAATCAGAGCGAGATGAACTTCGACCAGTTCGAGAGCGACCCGAATTAGCGCTAGAGAATCTGCAGCGCGCGCGACCGCGACCCGAGCCACTCCGAGCTATACTTCAGGATGCCCCAGGCGAGCCCGAACGGACACCATATCAAGTCCAATGTCGGGGGAACGGGCGGACACGCATTCGGGGCCGCCGTGTCACGTGACCGGAACCCGTGCCAGATCAGCATCGGCAAGCAAGGCAAACAAGACGAGTGCGATTCGATCTAACCGATCGTTTCGGCGGCGATGGGGTTTTCTTGTATTCAGCCAAGATCGGTTCAAGCAGTCTCAGGCGGTCAGCGATCTCTGCCATTTTCAGATGCCTCTCGTCGCGGTGGCCTGGATTCATAGATGGGACGTTCTCAACGTGGATGCCGAGAAGCACCGTGACACGGCAGCGCTGGTGCGTTGGAAGCAGGTGTCCGAGTTAGTGTTCACTTCGATCGCAATGGCCAGGCACCCGGCAGTGGCGATCATGTTTCACAGCGGCCGTCGGCATGGCATAGAGGAGATCTTGAAAGGTCGAATCGAGCTGCCAGCACCGCGCCGCCCACTTCCGCTCGGGAGAATGGCCGAGGTGGAGGTGCAGGAAGAGATGCAGAGCAACGGGTTGGAGTGCCAAGGAATGGGCTGCCAGGAGATGCGAGCGATGCTTAACGAGCAGCGGATCGAGAACGGGCAGGGCCGAAGAGGGGTGCGAGTGGCAGATCCGGAGCTTCGAGGTCTAGCCAAGAAACGCAAGGCGGAGCTCATCCTGCTGGTCAAGAAGCACAACATCAAGGTAAACGAGAGCACGATCAATGACAACACCGCGTGCTTGCTGTTGGGGCAGATTCCGAAGGCAGCCGAGAGGCGGGAGATCAAGGGCGAGGCGCCGCTGTTCGCGACCCCGAATGATGTTTCAGCGACCAGGGGCGCATGAAGCCTGGACAGATCAAGCGCTGCAATGACATGCTCAAGAAGGCTGGCGGCTTCCTCGCGTGGCAGGCCATGTTCGTCAGCGCGTTTTTGGTGAGGCCGCTATGCTTAGAGGGCGAGGCTCGCGTCCACAATCTCTGCGACGTTCAACGTCGAGACCGAATTCAGCTGCGACCTGGTGCAGATCTCGGCGGGGGAAGCGTCAAATCCGAGGAGTTCTGTAGGATGGGGGCTCAAGGTATGCGGGCCGATCGATCAGATCTACAACTGCAATATTCGAGCAGTTCAAGGTCGGCGCGCAGTGCTACATATGCACCGCTCTTTCAAGCCGAAGCTGCTTGCCCTGGAGCACCCTCCCACTCTGCGGACGCAGCGGGCAGGGTCAACTGCCGATCTGCGTCGCAAGCGCATCGCAGACCAACCTCTGCTGGACTCCGCGGAGGAGAAAGGAGTGACGAACAGTGGGCGGGGCAAATTATCCGCGAACCCCTGGACCTCGGAAGTGTTCGAGCAGCCGCAGGTCAAGCGCTCAAGGGGGCATCCAAGAGCGAAGGAGGTGAAGGCCGACATGCGCCAGTTCAACTTACGACATCCGAAGCCTGATGGGGAGATCTGGAAGCCGACTAAGTTCCTGACCTCCAACGATGCGCGCGTCAAGAAGTCGGGCAAGCAGCGTGGCGGATATCGCCAACATCACCAACTGGATGGAGCCCCTTACACGCGCGCAGCGGAACGCTGCACCCAGGAGTTCGGGGCGGCAGTTCTGCGGGCTTACCGGCGCCGCAACCGCAGCTACATGGCGGAGTGCGGCGTCTACGCGACAGGAAACCTCATGGACTTCATGGGCGGAGAATCCGACGAGTGGCTCTACTGCGAGATCGTCGGTGATTTCACAGGGTTGCCAGTGAAGTTACCAGGCGGGCCTCATTGGGGTCGAGTTGGACGACGAAGGGTCGTAGACCTCGAGGCCGATATGGCATTGCAGGGCTTCGAGAAGGCCGACGTCGCCACAGAGTGGATAAGCCGAAGTTGGACCGCGCCGCCAAGCTGAATATTCAGATGCGGTGCAGACCCGAGCTTGTCGCGGACGACATTGAAACGAAGGCTATCCAGTGCTCAAGTAAGGACCTGGCCGCGCTACATCAGCTACATCGGAATCTACGACGCCCCAGCAACGATGACCTTGTGAAACCGCTGAGATTCTCAGGGCGTCCAGGAAGAAGATCGCGAGGCCAGCCAGGTTGTCGCGCGCGGCAGATTTCAATGAGCAGATGGGGCTGGATTGTTTCACAATCAAGGACATCGATGGCAAGGTCTGGGATTTCAGATCAGTGGTGGATTTGGGGTACTACGCGCCATGTCGCGGGCATGATCGAGAGTCGACATTCGGGGACTTTTGGCGAGGGCGTTCGCTCAGATATGGACCAGCTGGGCAGGACCTCCAGCAAGTGCAGCGGTGGATTTGGAACGTGGTTTTGGTTTAGTATTTTCAAGAGATGTTCGATCGATTTCATTGCGCCGTCGTTCCGGTAGCGGGGCATGCCGCGCGGCGGCATGGGCGCGCCGAGCGTCGAGGAGGATGGTGGAATAGATTGGCCGAAAGGACCATTGCACATGCCGCGGCGCCCGGGGTGTCCGGCATGCGGGTTATCGCTTCCGTCGTCACCGGCGCCAAGAACGCACTGCGCCGTCAATGTTGGCTCAGTCCAGTCCAGCGCAGTGGGTGTTCGGCAAGAGCGCGCGACTGCCAGCAGATCTAGTGGACGGAGCCCACCGCGACGCGGCCCATGGAGGAGCAGAACTACAGCCTATGGAGAGACAGCTCAAGATGAGGACTGCAGCTCGCAAGGCCCCCATGGAGATGTAGAGCGACAGCGCGATGCGCGAGGCACTGCTCCGACGCGCCCGAGTGCGCCCGCATCAACTAGATCAAGGAGACCTCTGCTTCCACCACCGCCAGCTCAAGACGGGCTCGATCAAGAACGGCGCATAGTTGAAACTGGCTGTGATTGTGGGGGGGCAGGGTCATAATGATTGGATTGCACATGGTGGTTTCACGAAGCCAGTGACTCCAGAACGCGTTCGGCCAGTGACCATTCGAGAAGCTCGGTGGCCAGGTTTGGACGATCAACATGGAGCAGCCCTTGATCAACTTCAGCGACTAAGTCGCGACACCGACGCCAGCGCCGACATGGCGCGCGAAGATCTACGAGGAGAAGAGCCACGACCTGAAGAAGGAGCTGCCGAGATGGAGGCGGAACCCGCAGGGGTGGCTGCCGAGGGCGCGTCAGGAGTTCGAGATGATGTCGAGCCCTCACCTGATGAGGATCTCCCACGGAATGAGGCAGACGCAACAACGGCTCCATCTACGTCAGTTTCACCGCCGCCATCCGGGCGAGTTCAGGATCGCTCTGGGCCGAACTGCGGAGATTGGAACAGCGAGGAGTTCCAGCGACGTCGAGCCGTCTACAACCTGCTCGACGATGCACTGCAATGCATTCGAGGAACACATCGGCAAGAAGAGGCCGCACGATAGAACGCTACACGACAAGATCACGACAAGGTGGACAAGCACACTACGCCAGTATCGCTCATGACTGCGACGAGGGCACCGCCACGAATTCCAGTTTCGCCGTCATGCTTCGTGGAGCTCGAGCCCAGAGTGAGAGACTCAGGAAGAAGCTGCAGGATAATGAGATCGCCTGGAAGGGCATCCCTGAGGAGCACGAGCCGCTCCGCCAGAAGGCCATCGCGGAGCACTGGGAGGAGTGTAAGGAATATGGCTCAGTGGAGGCGTTATCCCTGGAAGAATCTCAACAAGCACGACAGGAGAACGACGGCGACCGACCCCTGCTGTCCAGGTTTGTGTTCTGGGGCAAGAATGTCGCCATCCGCGCAGAGGCCAAACCCGCGCCGGCGATGGCCAAGGCCAGACTCTGCGCTGGGGGACATGGCGACACAGATCTACTGACTGGAGCTTTCCGAACTGATGCGTGCACAGAGGCCGGAACCAGTTCCCCGCCGTTCTTCGCAATGGCAGCTCGAAGCGGGCGGGGCCCAGCGCGCGCCGACGCCGCGTCCGCCTTCATGCACGGGGGGGGGCAGCCAAGAGACCTGCCCTTTTTCATGGAGCAACCAACGCAAGGTCTACCAGGACATCAAACAGGACAGGTGCTAAGAATCGTCAAGGGGATTTTCGGTTTGGCTACCGCTCCAGACAATGGCGGGCCACGCTCAAGAACGCTCTACTGAAGGTCAGGACCGTGAGCAGCCAGAACCAGAAGTTCAATCAAGTTCGGAGCTTTGCGGGCCTAGCTTTGTTCGTTGGAAGTGGATCAGATGGGACCTTGCAAGCAATCTTTTGCGCGCGTGTGGATGACCTCCTGAACGCAGCCAGCGCCGAAGCTAGCTACGAGATGGTCAAGAGTGCGTTTCCATTCGGAGGTTGGCAAGGACTCGATTTCACTTTTCTGTGCTAAGGATGATGTTCGACGGACAGATGGAGCTCTGCGCATGTCTCAGGCAGCGTTTGTCGAGAAGTTAGAGCCGCTCGAGTTGACAGAGGGGCGCAAGAACAATCTCGGATGCCCTGCCGCAGATATCGAATCGAGACCGCCGCGAACGGGAGTTTGATCGGAATCTTTGGATGGCTTGTCATTCGGACTCGACCTGGCCTAACCGCAGGAGTTTCAATGGCACAGCGAGTGCAGAACTCGCTAACCGTTGCGGACTTGACCGAGACGAATCGCATAGCTGCAGAGGCCAAGCTCTACAACGAGACCGCCATCACGTGCCGAAGTTGGATGGCGAGCTTGTTGCTCTGGCATTTCACGATGCTGCGCAGGTTAACGCGGGCGAGCCCGTCGACGAGGTGTCCGGCGCAGCCAGGTGGCGCGGGTGTCGATGCAAGACAGTTTTCGCTTCGGAGGTTCCGAAGAAGCCGAAGGCTAAGAGTCAAGCAGGCCCCTTGGTATTCGCGACCGAGAAGGAGATCCTCGAGACGCTGGTGAACCGGAGATCCGCTACCATCAGGAGAGTGTGCCGCAGCACTTTTGCTACCGAGACAATGAGTGCAGTGGGCGCTTTGGGCGCAGCTAGTGTGATGCGCGCTTCTATCCTTAACGTTCTGTATTCTGATATGAGCATCGATGGTCTTGACCCAGGTTTGCGCGATTCAATGCGCGACGGATTGTGTGCTTCGCGATATGACGCAGCGCATCGCGAAGGAGCAGTGAAGTTGCATGCTGGGAGACGCCGGGCGTTGGATTTGACTGGGCTGCGTGAGTTGTTGGGGCACGAAAGTGTGGAAGAGGTGGCCGCCGCTACTAGATCTAAGTTGCCCTGGGCATGGTGCCCCACTAAGTATATGGTTGCTGGTGCGCTAACAGAGAGGGTGGATGGATCACATATACGTAATGCGATGAATGGACATGTGATTTGTCACCAAGACCTGCTGCCTAAGACAGATGTCGACCATAATATCACGATGGGCTCATTGTTTACATTTTGGGGGCATTGGGTTTGATATTTTCTAAGTGAACCAGATTCCATATTCAGATGTCGCAAGGCCTGCCGGCCGTCTGCTTGCATTCCTTTCGCAAGCGTGCTTGTATTGAAGCCTGCCGCTCGAGAGCTTGGCGGGTTGCCCGCTATCGGCCCCTGGAGTTCCATTTGCGGGCAAGCTGCGTGCCATTTGTTTTGCTTTTTGGTCGACAAGGGGCTACCTAAGTTTAGAGCGAGTGTGAACGCGAGAGTGCTGCACTGCCCAGCGTTTGCCCCTCGTCTCATCCGTACCGCTCCGTAAACATTCTGGTTCCCAGGGCCCTTCAGTTTTAGGCGACGCGCGGAAAATACCGCGCGCCCATCGCAGCACAGATCAGAAGTCCCATCTTCACAGAGGGGGAGGCAGGAGCAGGAGGAGGAGGAGGAGGAGGAGGGAAACGAGGAGGAAATGGAGGATGGGGGAGGGGGAGGAGGAGGAAGAGGAGGATTTGTTTACCGCTGCGCTGCTCTACGTGACTTTTCATGCTGGCTTGGGCTCTGGCAGTGGGAGACCCGGCGGACGTCGAGCACGGCACTTCGAGGGCTGACACAGGCATGCGTACATGCCAGCCGGGAAAAGGCACGCACAAAGCAAGCAGCGCGCGCACTACCTGCCCCACGGCATTTTCGAGCTGCGCCCAGCCGTAACGACACGCTTCACGCCAGGAGGCCGTGCCGCCCCGATAAGCCTCTGTGGGGCACCACTCCCGCGATAGACCGCCCCACCCCCACGCGCGCCGGGCGGGGAACCACGGCCGTGGGAAGGCTGGGTGGGGTATCCCGATGAGCCGCTCGCAGGCGACTCGCCCGCCCCCACGCACGCCTGGGCGAGGCACCCAGGCCGAGAGAATGGGTGGGCAACGAAACGCTGCGACGAAAAAAGGGGGGTTACCCAAAGAGGAGAATGCCGCCAGCCGCGTCCCACCGACAGCGAGAGGGTGGAGCCCTCTGACCGCCGGGGGGCCCACGCGGCTAGCAGCCACCTGGGGAAGGAACGCCCCAAGGCGGTCGCCCCTGCCACTTTTGGGCACGGGCTGCCCCCACCAGTTTGGGCAGGGGCCCCACCTGCCTCCGCCAGTCTTGCGGGTGGTCACCAGAGCCCAGGCTGCACCGTTTCTCCGCGGTGGCAAACACTCCATGCCTGGCCTGGCGGCGGGAGGAGGAGGAGGGGGAGGAGGAGGAGGAGGAAAACAGGAGGAGGAAAACAGGGGGAGGAGGAGTCCATCTTCATGGGCCCCTACAGCGATTCATTTCCACTGAGGGAATTGCCTCGTTGGAAGACAAACGTTTGAACACCCTGAAGCATGCCAGACCATGACTCTCGGACGCCAGCGCCACGGATCAACCTGATTGTTGCGTCTTGACGATCCTGAACCGTGTCAGAAGGCCATCGCGAATCAACGTAAGTGTTGCACCTTCAAAATCCGTAATCTGTCCAAAACACAATTTCTGGTACGCTGATCATGGTAATCCGA